GTTTGAATTCTGAATTTGACCAGACTTTTCCTTTAACAAAATCACCTTTTATTGATTGTCATTTAAAAAATGTCCGATTAGATAAATTCACTGAGCTTTTTTTTTACTGTGGTTTTGTCTCAGTATCCTGAACGATCTGTTTCTGTTCCAGAGTCCGTGGTGCCTAGCAGTGGGACCTTCCATGTCAAGCTGCCAAAGAAACGAGGAGTTGAACTAGGACTCACCATCAGTGGTAGGAATAAACTAAACCTTCCTATAAAGACTTTGCTTTTGGCTGCAGTGGTGTTCTTATGACGGTTAATCTAATTAGTTCATAGTTGGAATAACTAAATTCATATAATTTATAAACCGTCTACCTTCACAGCCAGGTTAACATGTTTCTGTGAAAGTTATCCCCACAGGGCTGAGGGGGCGGAGCTAGACATCATCAGGGTTTAGCCCATATTTCCTTTTAATGAAGAGGATTTGGAAAATAAAAAAGGAAGAAGCTATTGCTACACACCACCTATTTGTTTATCACACATTTAATCATTTTTAAAATCTCAATATTGTCAGGGAAATTATTTATTGCCTGAGTGTGTTATGCAGAACACCCTTAAAACCGTAGTTGCAGGAAAAACAAGATATGTTATATAAAGAACTCTTGAACTAATGGAACTTTTTCAAGCTTTTGCACAATTCAGACTTAAAGATATGAAATCTTAATTTTTTGGTGAAGAATCAATAAATCGGACACAATCAATATAATTCAATTCAGTTTGTTTATATAGCGCCAATTCAAAACACATGTCATCTTAAGGCACTTTACAGTTCACCAGATCATCCAGGTAAATTGATTCAAAGTTTTCTAAGGAAAATCAGTAATTGCATCGACTCACTGACTCGAATGCAGTTCCTCAAACTAAGCACACTAATGCTTGTAGCGACAGTGGAGAGGAAAAATTCCCTTGAAGAAACCTCCAGCACAATGGAAAAATCGAAATCTAGATAACTAATTTTTTTCTTAACATAAGTGCATTTGTTCTTGGATTGAGGAGGTAAAAGAGACATTTTGCCAATGGAACAAGACAATTTACACTTAAAATAAGAAAACACAACTCCATTATCTTATATCAAGTGCATTTTATCCAATTGTCTTATTTTAAGAGTAAAAATACTCATTCAATTGGCAAACTATCTCATTTAGCTTCTCAAATTAATGGTAAATAATATTGTCAATTTAAGAAATTTTTAGTTATTTCTAGATCTTTTTCCAGTGCAGAACCAGGCTCAGTGTGAGCGGCCATCTGCCAAGGGCGACTGGGGTTCAAGGAGACAGAAGCAGAGATACAGAAAGCAGCTGTAAGAGGCGGCCCCTCCAGGAAACACACAGCCAGGCAGACAAGCTCAGAGCCAGCTCCCATTTCA